GTCGTGAAACGGGATGGGTCCCCCGTGAGGATTTTCAAGTTCTGTTGACCAGCCATGTCTGGGACTTGTGAGCCCCAGGCAGGTATGTCTTCAGAAACTTGAACCGAAGCATCCTTGACCGTGACACTGTCAACCGGCGCCTTGCCTCGAGTCACTTGTGCGTAAGAGGGTGTAGCAATGTCTGCACTCCCGACTATCCTCCTGGCCTCGGGGAAAGAGACACCTCGGGTATATTTAACCCGTAATATCTCCCTCTCCTGGCTCCAGGTAGGGCAGTCGCGAGAAGAGGCAGCGTGCTTCCCCTCACAGTTGACACAGCGCAGGTTGGCGATGTCACAGTCATTTTGCTCGGTGTGACCCTCACGGCCACAATACTGGCAGATCGATTTTCGTCTACATCGCTTTTCGTGATGACCGTACTTCTGACAGTTTCGGCATCGCAATGGATTTGGGATGTAGACGGAAACGTTGTACCTCTGGTATCCGATTGTTAGTATTTGGGGTAGTGTTGGCGTTGAAAAAGTGATGATGAAGGTGTTTGTTTTGATTGTATCATTGTTTCTCCTGATCACCATCCGCCTCACCTCAGAGACCGGGACGCTCTCCTCCTGGAAATATGCCAGTATGTCTTCATCGGTGTCATTGCGCAAGGCTGGGCACCTGATTACCCCCTTGCTGCAATTAAGTGATGAGTGTGGTTTCACACTGACACCGATGCCGGCAAAACTGGTTGTTCCGAGTAGGTTCATCGCCTGTTGTTGGCGATAAACCTCTATAAGGAGATCGCCCGATCCCAATGGCTTAACGGATTTCACATCCCCTGCGATTCCCTGGATGCCCTTCCTCAACAGAAGTGGCGACAACGCGGCCGTTGTTTTACCACTCTGTGTGGAGGTCATCACAAGGAATTGCGGGAATTGGGTGTTCTGTGTTGCGTTTTGTGTTGTTTTTGAGCTAGGGTCATCGTTCCTGATTTTGGTATGTCCGTCGTTTTGGTGGTTTTTATCTTTACCCATGTGTATATTTGTTTGTTTCACGATCTATGCCTCCACCCGCCACGGAGCCCAACAAGGGGACACTGGTGTGACGCGGATATCCAGCGCCAAGTGTCGGAGATACATAGAATAGTATACTCGTAAGAATATACATACTATTTGAAAGAGTATACTCTCGCGATTGACCCTGAGCCACCGCCTTCTTGGGAGTATGTAAACCAAGGGCTCGGCGTGACCAGCCGATTGGTGATAGAGGGCCCATATCACCTCTCGTCTACCCAGAGTCCGAAGCCAAAGCAGTATGTTGCAGAATATCGGATCATGTCTCCTTCCTATCAAGAGTTTGACAGTGATTCCGACTCTGCTCAGCTACCAGGATCTTCTTCCCCCAGGAATACGAGATGCAACCCACGGCAAACAGGTTGGCTCAAATTGGAGCTACTGTGATATAAATAAAGACTTGTTATTCATTTATTATATCCTTATTAAGCTGGTTATTTCCTGGCTGTGACAGGATACATCAGGCTGGTTGCTGCACATTGTCATGATACATTTACCATTCTAAAAGCACACGGTTTCGCCTCCAGTCATTGTCATCCCTTCATTTGTATGGGTGTCTTTTCACTTCCTGTTGTATCGACAGTGCTTGCTTTTCTGATTGCTTTTGCTGTCAACTAGTATATCTTATATTAATTATTTCTTCACTTTGAATACGGAATGTGCGATGTTATGCATATTTCATAATCAATATGTCGAAATCAAAAGACTTATCTTTAATACTTCATGTCGGTATAATTGTGATTCAAATTGATACTTTCACTTTTCAAAAAGCATCTTTTCTATTTGATGATGATTGTGAAATTAGAACCAACATTGCCAAGATATTCCGACTGAAGTATTTATACTCGGTATAATGACTGGCCTTTATTTTACCTATACATATGCATTACGCTATCTTAAGGAAATCTTATAAGACAAAGAAACAAAAACAAAATGTGAATATTAGCAAAACGATAAATAAGAACACATGTTATTTAAGGAGGGTTGTCCGATACCAGTCTATCCCCAATTGTTATCACCGAGTAAATCTTATTAATGCAGTTAGCATCATTAGCCTGCATATGAATTTTCCGACAGATACAATATTATCACACAGAGTGAGCGCCGTCTAGTAAACCACCCTTCAAGTGCTAAGTCCAAACATCGTGGCAACGGCTCCTTTCCTCACACTGAAATCCGCGTTGGTGACTTAGTGTACCTTTATGGAAAGAGGGACAAAACAAAGGCTCGCGATCGATACCTTGTTGCGTCAGTTACCGAAGGTTCAGAGTGGTGCTTCGTAAAAAAGTTAACTTGTAAACAATTACGCGGTTCATCGTACACTGTTAAGCTCAGTGGGTGCTACCGTGGCCCTTGTACGGTACTTGAAGTTATTCACCATCAGCATATTCCAGATCTTGACCTTGACTGAAGAAGACACCCAAGGAACTTTCGATACATCGTTTGTTCCTGTCGACATTACTCCTCTCTTGTCTACGCCTGCCAATGCAGGATTACCAACCCAGGACGCCCAACCCAAAAATCCCAATACTTGTCGGTCAGCCAGACAGTGAAACTAACGTAGACAGCGCGTGTAGCACTTGTGATCATGAGGAGACTGTTCCTGATGCGATTTCAAATAGTACATCATCTCCAATTTCATCTGATACATCCGGTAGACCTAAACGAACTCTGCGACGCCCTCTATATTTGAACGATTACAATACGTCGTAGATTGCATTCTGTGTGAATCAACTATTTACTATCCAGTTATTATTATTTATCTTTTGCAAGGACATTGCACAAGACACTTAGTATGTAAAAGAAATGTTCTCTTTCTATATAACTTACTAGATACAATAAGTGATCATTTAATTGTGTATTTTTGACTTTTTGGTTTAAATGTTATGGTTAAGTATATCTTCAAGGAGAAGAGAAGCCGCGCCACCATATAGTATGTATGGCAGTATTGACTTGTTCGATGGATGTGCTCGTTGGTAGTGCGCTACCTAACAGTAAGAGTAACTCCCCTTGGTCGGAACTCTTTTGTGTATTATTTTTGATATACCATGTGCCTTTCTGGATAAAGCTGTGTTGAGTGTAGACATCTGGCGTGTGGCATCTTCAATACTGGCGTGAATTCTTTCCCAGAATATTATAACAATAAATGTATAACCCGAAGACCCCTACGCTGAGGACACAGCAAATTTCACTTTTGTTTTTAATGTAAAAATATAAGGACTGTTTAGATTAAACACTGTCCAGGTACTATTTATTGTAAAAGGGATTGCGAATCCGTGATTAATGAATTTCAATCTTATTTAAGATTAATTTCCAATGACGATAGGATTGTTTCAAAATATATTCTTTTCTGCATAGTTTTAAGGTTTATTGTATTCCTCCGCGAAAGTATTCTCTTTGTTAACGTTTGTCACAGACCGAGGAATTGCGATCGTTGACCACTGAGCTGAGAAGTCATTTAGGAAACTCGGTGTTTAGTTGACTTTTTTAAATAAAGAAAAAATTAGGTAATAGTTTATAGATGATAAATAGTTTATCATACAGTATATTCAGAGTTTATCGTGAGAAGAATTTTCTCATCGCCCGCACGTAGATAAAATCTCGAGTCCACCTGCGGTGGCCTATCGATTTCATCCACGTGCTCGCGATGAGAAAAAATCTTCTCACGACAAACCTTGAAACTGCAGTGCGATAATCTATAATTACAACTTACGCATAGAATTCATGGACATCATGTACACTGTCCGAATATTTTCCTCTGTGAGACTTGGCGAAGACGTAGAGAGATCTACTTGCCGTAAGTAACCTGTTGGCGTAGACTGTGTCTATAGACAGAAAGTGATATTACAACTGTACAATGGCAAATAGTAATTTAAGGGCAATCAGTGTTACGCAAACCAAAACCCTATACATGATGCGTACACTTACTAAGATTGTTAATTTCTATTGAAAGGCGTTATGCTTAAGACAAATGTGATTTTGATATCAAATGCGTCAATTTAAGTTTGACAGTTGTTTTCGTGAGTTTGTCTTGAGGGCTAGATTTATCTATATGTTAAAGATGGATATGCCAACTGATTTGAAACAGATTCATGTGATTCAATTGAGAATCAAACGACTTTAAGTTTCCATGACATTCACAATACACGCAGTACCTTTAGACTGAAAGGCAATTGAACCAGCTGCCATGGCAGCAGCTGTCTCCCCTGCCACGTCACTTCCGGGCTTTTGGGCAGTGACTTTGTACGTTGGTCTGTTTGGATTCATGTCTTCCGGCCTGCCCCAGTAGTCATGCCCTGCATGCCCATTACCACACTGTTGGGAAAAACACGGTGTACCATATAGTTTCTATCACATCAAAAGGGTTTTAGGGGGAAATGATAAATATGTGTAATGTTATTATAGTGTAATGGTCGTAAACAGAGCTTCCAGTACTTTACGGTCATATATAGATATTTTTGCATGTTACTAAGAGTGTATTCTGGTCGTTTGACGTCATTTCCACACTGCAGGAGATGGACATTGTTTCCCATTCAGATCTTATCTCATCAAAGTGTGTTCATCAAAGTGTGTTAAAGAGTAATGACAAATACTTGTAAACGTGCTTACTCTGTAATGACTGTAACAAAAATATCAGTACCATACCATCATATATATAACTAATACAGCCAAAAATGGTGTGCAATTTCTCTTTCATTCTGATTTGCATTTTATAATAAGAATTCTACTCACAGATTTTTTTCGTGACAAAAATATATTTTTATTATATTCAGGTACATTGTATCGGGTTCCAAGTGTTTTAAATATGTTTTAATGCAAAACATGGAATATGCAACAATGCTAAATGTCATAAAGAATATGTACCAGGAACATACATTCAACCTCATTTTTGTATATTGATGATTTAATCCGACGGTCACGAAAAGAAGTACAAAACAATGTCCACGGTATACATGCTCGAGGTCTCCCTTTGTCTTTGTAATGTCGAAATTGATGCCATTATTGTCAGTGAGGAATTGGATTCTATTTACTGAAGAAACTGGTAACTCTCAAACTATGGAATGTATCAAATAGTGATACCTGTCACGGTGTGACGATTTTGCTTTTGGTATATACCCATCAGAATGGTTCTTTCTATTTACTACATTCAAATCTGCAGATGGTCTGGTCAGATGCAGATGAACTAATTGTAGTATATATAGCCGTTTATCTACATCTTCGCTACAATCTCTTAAATATTTGATGAACTAAACATTTGATGGGAACTTTGTTAGCAAGTTGTACCATGTAATATCAGGAAGGGGTCGAACTACTTATTCATTCAAAATGGCGCCGCCTTGTTGTCAAGTGTGACGTAATTAAAGTGTAAGAAACTAAGGATAATTATTAGTCTTATCTCTATGTATCGTATTTAATCGTCTATAGAACCAATGACCTACCTGTATATACAGCGTGTGACGGCTTGGCTTCCAACACTTTAGGAAGTAGTCGAGTGGCCATTTGACGCTGTCATACATATTGTCCAGCTGTCCAGCGGCCTGATAGGCGTCCGGCCACCGAATAAGGCCCCACACCAACAATGTAGTGGTGGACGCCATCGGGAAATTAAACTTTATTAAATCGCCAGCTAGAATACGGACAGACTTGGAATCAAATAAAATAACCTTGTTTAAATACATTACATAAAAATATGTGAATACAAAATTTAATAAGAAAGACATTATCTCATTCGACGGATTGCTTCGCTTCGTACATCAGCTCCATTCAATAAGATTACTTTGAAAGGTAAACAATTTTTCTTGGAAATTATAATAATGATTAACAAACATGGAAATATAACAGAACTTATATCTGGATATTAATGTGTATATTTGGTGTTTGTTTATTTTATCATGTTTCAGCGATTTTTAACACGTGACAATACTGACGTCATAAAGGCCTTTGTTAACCATTTACATACGTCAATGTCAAGCTACATAATGCTCAACATTATGATATCATACACGTATTCATATTTTCTGCACGTAACAACATGGCACGATCACACAAACACATTAAGGATCCCCGCACCACTGCTATAGACTTTAACTTAGCGTTGGAAAACTATTTTTCGACATGACCATAGCTCATTCGGAACAACTCGCACCGATTACATGTCCTTTCATCAAAGATGACCGAATAAGTTGATGTGTTCCGAATCGACCATTGCTTTGATAAATCATTTTTCAAATGGGAAATGAAAATCAACAACAGTGTTCAGAGTGTAAAAATGAAACAGAGTCAGACCAGGATTCTGACCCTTGACATCTGATTATGATACACTGTTGCTATAACCAACAAAGGTACTCGGACAAGGTACTGTCCTGGCCATGTGGTACCACAGTTACATTGTATATCGTTTACGAAATCAGGGTAGGTTACTGTGTACGTGAAAATCTACAATGGAGCTCTGTGGTGTTTTTCTGCAGTGAAAAATGGAATCTAACTACCAAGTATGTATTTCTCATTCTTAAGGGTACATTAAAAAAGGTTATTGATTATACTGTTATCACAGCATTCAAAAGCATTTATAAAAATATGTACCTTTATAAAAAAAAAAAAAAAAAAAATGTCTGTTCCCCTGCATGAAAGTATTTATTATATGTAACTGCAGTACATAGACTAACACCTCCATTTCTATTATACTGTATCCCTCTGTATAACCGAACACGCTTATTACTTTTCTAATCACCAATCAACTGAAGAAAACATCGCTGGCTTAAGGACTTTAACAAAAAATCCTTTGACTTAAGCTTTTGTAAATGTGACAGCTATCCCATGTAAGCGAACATATTGATGATGAATGACGTTACAATCACAGCAGAATACTAAAGAAACGCCTTAAAACATAAGTGATCATATCACTTTATTTTCCCGAAATAGTAACAAATCTTCATAACTGGTGAGTTATTATCGTAAAACTGTCGCAATATTAGGAGGTTTATTATCTCACGTCAAAATAAATTGAGCATCAATGTGCATGATTACCTATTAAATAACGCTTAACAACGGTTATGGTGTAATCTACTGGCAGTTTAATGTAGGGTGTAATCCCAGTACCGTTTCTTATTAAAGCACAATCTGTCTTGCTCTGGTATATAACGAATAGAGCAAACGTGGTTATTTTAAATGAGTTGAGGTATGGTATCTGTCTTGTCTGTAGAATATGAATATCTGTAATACTTGATCGGTAAGAACAGCTTATACATTGTAAAAGGTATTGAAGTATCACTAAAACCAGTTCGATATCTTTACACTAGCTAGATTTTTTTTCATGTTTCCATATTTTGTTTTTAACAATAGCATTTTTCCAGGCATTGATGCATTTTAGCATAAATATGGTTCACAGCATATTTGTAACACTAATAAATTGTGATGTGATATCAGGATTCAATCCGTTTTGTTTTTTATTGTTAGCTTTCGCCGAAAGTGCACTACTCTTATATGTCGCCGGATAATTTTGAAACCTTATCCCTAAACAAATTCTTCTTAATGTTTTTTAAATTTTAATTGCTTTGCAATTATAACTAATTATAGCAATACTTATAACTATTTCCTTTCGGGCGCTATTCTATGTTATTATTCGCATTCTTATAAAAAAATAAAGATTTTCAATATTGGCAAAACAATATTTAAACACCGTATTTTCCGATATATAATAGTCTTTCACTTGAAGCCCATCCCGTATCAGTCGTTCAACATCCACTTGTATAAAGTACACTTAGACTTCCTTTATTTCATGTAATATACATTTATCTACTTAATTTTCATAACAGTGATTTTGTGGACTCAAAGCATTTTTTGTACAATGGATACTATGCAAGAACTTTTCGGAATCATATCTCATACCCTGGAATGTTATCAACATACCTATCAAAGCCTGACATCCTTTCATATCGTATGGACAGAAGACAAGGTTCTACTTCTACTTCTAAATGGTACTGACCAACTTCAACAATTTGAAGATAAAATGTCAGACGAGGAGTGAAACATGGAAAGAGATTGTTTTTAAAAGATACGAGATCGTCTAATTTGCGTTTGAAAAGTGACGGTAGAGGACTGATTTGAATAATTCCGTTGTGGGGCTCGAAATAATGTCAGGTGTGAGTTAATTCCACTCGGGTATAGTTCGAGGGAAGATTGATGCCTTTCTGGTCTGGGTTTTTGAGTGGGGAATTTGATACGAATACTGGGGGTTTGTTCGGGATTTTCTATCTGTAGGGATTAATCTGTCTGATTTTACGATAGCGACTCTCTGGTTTACAATGCTATGAAGCATCGTCAGACGAGCATCTCTACGTCTATCTGCTAGAGGGCGCAGCTTTAGGTGGTCCAACATTTCTGACACACTGGAGGTATAATGGTTGTACCTGTGCTTATTGGGCACATAGCGCGCTGCCCTTCGCTGGGTCATTTCCAACTTGTCAATATTTGTTTGGGTGTGAGGGTCCCATACTGTACAGGCATACTCAAGTGATGGTCGAACTAATGATTTGTATGCCTGTACTTTGGCTGATGTTGAGCCAATTTTAAGATTTCGTCTTAAAAAGCCTAGCGTAGAATTTGTTTTTGGGCAGATAGAATTTATATGTGAATCCCATTTAAGGTCAGATGATAGTGTTACACCCAGATACTTGACCTGACTAAGATGTTCCAGTATGTGTCCATGTAAAGTATAATTATGGACTATTGGAGTTTTGTTTTTAGTCACCGACAACACATTGCATTTGTTTGGGTGGAAGATCATTTTCCATCTATTTTCCCAGAGCGCTAGTTTGTCAAGATCTTTTTGAAGTGTTTCAAGATCACTGTTTGACTTGATAACTAGATATGCAATAGTGTCGTCTGCAAATAAACGGATTGTAGCATTTAGACCTACAGGGATATCGTTTATAACGTAAAGAAATAAACTGGGTCCCAAAACTGACCCCTTGGGTACCCCGGAATGGACATCGACAGAAAGGTTAACCGAATTCTAAAGGTATTATTTAATTTTAATCGAGCTCTTCCTTTTCGAGTTTATAAATAATTTTTTTTATATAATCTTCTATTATCGAATCCTAATGGTAAAATGACACTAATATGCTTTTTGATAGTCACTTGAACTACAGATAATGATGAATAATTTTATTTGTGTTTATAAATAGATTTCGCCGGGTTAAAATGCTTACCGTCATACCATCCTCCTGTGAGATCAGTGTGCACATCATGTCCATCTTGCAGAGCGGAGTCACCCCTCCAAGGTATAGGGTTATTTGCCGGAAGTTTCCCTGATCGCTGCGCAGCGTAAAACAGTATTGACAAACGTAAGGCTTCGGCGTAATCGTACTTGGTATTGAGAGCTGAAAATGTTAACATTTGAATATTTGAAGCTAAATTGTCTTTGCATTAATTTCAACATTTTCTTACATAACAAGTTTCCAAAAAGTATTTCATACTAATTCCATTTAAACAAATAGAAGCAAAATAAGTAGAACAAAAACTAACCAAGAACAGACTGGTTAGTTGATTGTGGGATTGCGGGTCCTAATGTAGTGGGGTTTGTCACGTGATTGCTACTTCCTCCCACGGTTACTTCCGTCAATGTGACAGTTCCGGTCGGTGCCTGGTCACCAACCATCGTGCCGGTGAAGTCCACAGTCAGTGAGTCCTCGGCTGTAACGTTTCCGTCCCATCGGACATTTTGAACAAAATAATCTCTGTTACCATTGCTTGAAGATAAGATTGTGGCCTTGAATATCTACAAATAGAATACAAATACGTATTCATTTCCTTGTCCTCATAACGTGTGTAGAGTTATCAAGCTGCCCAGTACTGCTATCAGAAAGCAAAACTTTAAGGACAGTACATGTATGTTCTCACTGAAAGAGAATTAAAAGTGATAGTGAAAGTACATGTAACGTTCTACTACCCAAAACACAAACCAAAATGACGATACCAGTAACTCTCTGCTAACTCTCTGCAATATTTATTTTCGATATCGTCATATTTTCCATCATACACATTTGAAGTATCCCGATATCGCTGAAGCTAGAGTTATATATGAAAAAAGGAAAGATTAAATCGGGATCATTAGAATGATTTTGGATGAATAAGAACGGTCGGGGAGTCATATGCGGAAGTTCTAAGACACCCTCTATTTAAATGAATGTAAAATCCAAATACATTCATGGGCTTAATACAAATGTCAATTGACTTAATAAACAAGTTAATGGGTTTAATAAACATGTAGGGGCTTCTTAAACATGTTAATGAGCTTAATAAACATGTTAATGGGCTTAATAAACATATAAATGGGCTTAATAAACATGTTAATGGGCTTAATAAACATGTTAATGGGATTAATAAACATATAAATGGGCTTAACAAACATGTTTATGGGCTTATCAAAACAATATCGGCTTAAATATTGCACAGAAAAAAACATTTTCCGATTAGATCATGTTGACCACCATACAACCTTCCCACGTTTCCTTTCAACCTGCACTTCTCGAAACATTGTGTAATCTTTTTGTCCGTCAGCAATCTTCAACGATCATGGAAATGAGGGATATTCGGAACAAGCCCTTGAATGTCGCATCGACTGCAATATGTTAACACCGTAAGTGGGGGAGGAATGGGTGTTGCTGTTAAGAAAGTTTATGACCAGAAAAATCGAAATAGTCAAGCTTTTCGTTCAGCTTCGTAGTAAGTAGCCCCTGTTGTAGATGTTTTAAATTAAGATCGAGTTAAACGTCTGATGTGAAAGGATGTGAAGTGTCCTAAACAGTTCAGGAAGGAATACACGATATCTACATGGTCAGTATTTTTTCTGTTAAATAAAAATAGCGAATTGTCGAATTATTTGAAAGTGAAATTGAAGGATTTATATCAGTCCTTGTTATTAGCCATTTACAAACAGAACCTGTCGATCAGAAGACAGATATAGACAGCTTCCAATGAAATGCCAAAAGTCTGTATGAAAATCAACTCAGGTGAAAGCAACTATTATATTTCGAATGAGGAACTCGATCATTATCACGATTTCATGCTTAGTATATCAATTTTCATTTTGGAAATTTGTCATGTTTTACGTAAGTTATGCTTCCAAAGTAAGGAAAAACCTATTAAAACAGTTTACTGATACAGAAAGCTAAAAGTAAATATTAATTGTAGACTATCAAATGTGTATGTAAAATGGTAGTTTGTCATGTAAACGGCGACGGAAGAAGTTCCAGCTACAAGGTAACGGCTAATGTTGAAATAACCTTTCATCTTGCATGGAACAGAAAGTTCGAGAGATTTCCTTCAATTCTTTATGAGGAAATATACAGTGTAGAATTTGTGCCATATCAGTAATAATTTAATAATAAGTCCCCACACAAATTTCCAAATTTCACTAGGAACAATTTTCATAATACTGAGATAGGAAACGAACTTCAATAATTCCTTTGGAGCTTCCATAAAACCTTCAAAAAACCCAATTTATTTGCTTAGACCGTTGTAAAGCCGATGTCCCTGACTACGCTAACGTCTCCTCTGAGAAGTATGAGAAGTGAAAAAAGACATTATTTTTGTATCTGCATCTCGTACTCGAAATATTTCCTGCAGAATCCACAGGTTTATTACATCCCCGTAGTGCACCAATAAGTATTTTGTATCGCTCATGTAGTTGTCGACAGCACGGGGCCCTTGGTGTAGGATTATTGATTGGAGGATATTTTTCACTGAAATAAGGACAGTCATAGACAGAATTGAATGGCCGTTGAGTTGCAATATCGATGCAACGTTTGTTTTCTTCCAAGATTCACTGCCAAACGATGACCATTCATTTGTTGTCATTAGTGTTCTTTTGTTTCACCAACATTTATGAAACCAAACAAAAGCGCACTCATATTTGACAAGTGAATGTATTGATCAGATGAAGTATATCAAATACACATTCGGATACCATTTGAATCAGTCACATATTCAGATAGCATTTCACGTGTACGATACCCTAACAAAGCCCGTAGAATTTGTCTATACAGTTTTTTTTATCGCAATTTAAACAACATAATGAACAAGAGGCCCATGGGCCTAAACGGTCACCTGAGTCTACAGTATTTATTTTTGTTGTTGAAATATGTACCAATTTGAGTAAAAAATAGTATAATGTTAACTTAACTTTGTCAGGACCATGAGCTGATCATTCCTAGACCAATTTTAAGTGAGATCGGCCTATTAGAACTTAGTAGCAAAATAGCGGCCATGGCAGCCAAATTGTATTTCTGATTGACCCGAAAAATAACAACACTTTGTCAGGACCATG